TTTCTTTTTTTTTTTTTAATTTTTTTTTTTTTTTTTTTTTTTTTTTTTTTGGTGTGGAATTTTTTATTAGAATTTTTTTTTTTTTAAATTGTGGAAAAGATTGAATCATAAATGAAGAATGTACATATACATAATTTATACATTGAATTATATTTAATAAATCTTATGTAACGCACACAATACCAGCAATTTGGAAAACTTCAGAAATCCTACCAATTCCAAAGAAAAATAAGGTAATACGCAACAACGACTGACGACCTGTTGCACTTACCTCTATTGTCATGAAATATTTTGAGAAAATAATTCTGAAATAAATTGTGAATGAAGTACAGCTAAAACTTGACCCCCACCAATTTGCTTTTAAGCCTGCCAGAAGTACGGAAGACGCAATCCTACTATTGTTGGAGAGACCTTACCATCACCTAGACAGTCCTAAAACATATGCCAGAGTGCTTTTCTTAGACCTCTCATCAGCTTTTAACACTATCCAACCACACCTTATGATAAAGAAACTTTCCTCGTTAGGTGTCAATTAAAGATTCAGGCTTGGATACTGAACTTTTTAACAAATCGACCACAATATGTCAAAGTAAATAACCAATTATCTCTAACTAGAGAAATACACACCGGGGCACCACAAGGCTGCGTTCTCTCCCCTGTACTGTATACCATATATACAAATGATATTCAAAGCTCAAGCGACACTGTTCCAATCTTAAAATTTGGTGATGATACCACCATTGTTGGCTTAAAATCTGAAGGAGAAGGCATATACCGCAACTTAGTTACGAGCTTTATCAATTGGTGAGATGAACATTTTCTCCAGTTGAATGTCTGAAAAACTAAAGAAATGGTTGTTGATTTCAGGATGGGGAAACACCAGATTACAGATCTCAACATAAAAAATCAAAATGTGGAGAAAGTGGAGACATACAAGTACTTAGGTGTCAATTAATAATAAGCTAACATGGCATGAGCACGGCCAAATGCTGTATAAGAAATTCAACCAAAGACTGTTCTACCTCAAAAAACTGTACAATTTCGGCGTTAACAAGCAAGTCGTTAACTTATTCTAGAGTTCAACTATTGGAAGCCTCCTTAATTTCAATGTTACCTACGGGTGTGGGAATTCAACGTCTGATACTAAACACCGCATAAACCGACTAATCAAGAAAGCTAGGAACATAACACAAACTAAACATCCTTTACTTGAAGAACTATTTGAAGAAAGATGTTTTTGCAAAACTATAAAAATTTGGATGATAAATCCCATCCTCTTCATCACAGATACTTAGGATCGGGCCGTTCGGGACGAATTCTTTCCATCAGGGCAAGGACTGACAGATATAAAATTTCTTTTGTTCCCCAATCTGTACGAATTTACCGGCATGCTTCCTCTGAAGTCACACATCTGAATGAGAACTAATAAGTCCCCGATTTTGCTAACAGAACTCACTAAATGGTTGTTTGAAATAATTTATTATACATGTCTTGTGTTCAAATTGTTTTATTTTTTAGCTGAAAATGTACAATGCAATCAAAAAACATTGCCATTTATTTGGATCAATAAAAGAATCTTATCGTATCTTATAACCTAATAGTTTTCCTGCTGCTTCCAGCTCAAACCCTTCCCAAAGGTATTTTCCCCAGTTGCCGAAGAGATATTGAAGGGATTAGTACGATAGAGTGTTAGACATCTTTAAAATGATATACACCCCAGTTCAGCATATTATTTGTCAAATCATTACTGCATAAGCCGGTCGTTAATTAATGCGTGTATTTAAATTAAAGTTTTAAAGCGCAGATAACCCCTATTTATTATTAGAAGTTTACATGATTCCGTTCTTGAAATTGTTATTTTAACTTATTTATTTTTTAATTTTCAAATTAATAAATTATCTTTTTAAGTCATTTCCCGTCTCTCTGCAGCAGTCGACACGCTTTAGAAAATGCATTTGTAGATACAGAGGGAGCCAAATAATATATATATATATACATGTATATATATATATATATATATGTATATATCATCGATAGATAAAGATGATATTCTTTTAGAACTCACACCACTCCGTGTTTTAAATAGTTTTTAGGATCATTTTGTTTGTTGATCGCGGCCTTTCAAGTAGCCATTCCAACAAAATATTTACATGTTCAGTGTAATGCCAAAGTGGTAGTGTAACATCTGAGGTTTAGAGCTGGTGTGTAATATGTGAGACGTAGTGCTAGTGAAACATGTGATGTTTGGTGCTAGTGTAACGTGTGAGGCTTAGTGCTAGTGTAACATATGATGCTTTGTGCTAGTGTAACATGTGATGCTTGGTGCTAGTGTAACATTTAATGCTTAGTGCTAGTGTAACATGTGATGCTTAGTGCTAGTGTAACATGTGATGATTGGTGCTAGTGTAACATGTGAGGCTTAGTGCTAGTGTAACATATGATGCTTGGTGCTAGTGTAACATATGATGCTTGGTGCTAGTGTAACATGTGATTCTTAGTGCTATTGTAACATGTGATGCTTAGTGCTAGTGTAACATGTGATGCTTGGTGCTAGTGTAACATGTGGTGCTTAGTGCTAGTGTAACATGTGATGCTTAGTGCTAGACATGTGATGCTTAGTGCTAGTGTAAGATGTGATGCTTGGTGCTAGTGTAAGATGTGATGCTTGGTGCTAGTGTAACATGTGATGATTGGTGCTAGAGTAACATGTGATGCTTAGTGCTAGTGTAACATGTGATGATTGGTGCTAGTGTAACATGTGATGCTTAGTGCTAGACGTGTGATGCTTGGTACTAGTGTAAGATTTGATACGTGGTGCTAGTGTAAGATGTGATGCTTGGTGCTAGTGTAACATGTGATGCTTGGTGCTAGTGTAACATGTGATGATTGGTGCTAGAGTAACATTTGATGCTTAGTGCTAGTGTAACATGTGATGCTTAGTGCTAGTGTAACATGTGATGCTTAGTTCTAGTGTAACATGTGATGCTTAGTGCTAGTGTAACATGTGATGCTTAGTGCTAGTGTAACATGTGATGCTTAGTGATAGTGTATCATGTGAGGTTTAGAGCTAGTGTGTAATTTGTGAGCCTTAATGATAGTGTAACATGGGAGACTTAGTCCTAGCGTTATATTTGAGGCTTTGTGCTAGTGTAACATAAAACAAACACATCTTTTTTTTAATGCCATATTTGTTGCACACGTCCCCAATCCAGCCCCCCCTCCCCCCCCCCCCCCCCCCCCCCCCCCCCCCCCCCCCCCCCCCCTGCCGCTGCCCACTCTTCAAATCCAACACAGAAGCCACTCCAACTCACGCAGGCGCATGAAAGAGAACAAAACACCCCCATTAAGAAAGACAAGTCTGGCAACTCTGAATAAAGTGAACGAGGTGTTTGCATGCAGATAACTTCCCCTGGCCCAGCTAAAATATCAATGAACGTAAAGAGCAGATTAACCCTGTCAATAGATTGGCTTTTACGTCCGATTAAAAAGAACAACCAAAAAAAAAAAAAAAAAAAAAAAAAAAAAAAAAAAGGCCCCTGTTAGCCCGGCCCCCGGGGGGGGGGGAGTGGGGGGGGGGGGGGGAATTACTCACGATTAAAGGGTTTCGTCTATTTTGCGTTTCTTTTTCTTTCTATTGCTAGGGTTTAACTTTAAATAAACAAAAAACAAAATTGGACTAAATTAAACTTTATTGTTGAATTGTCTGGCCGTTTTAATCTCCCCCACCCCACTGATACGCTAGTGCAGTGGTTCTTAGCCTTCCACATGCCTTGAACCTTTAATACAGTTCTTCATGTTGTGGTGTGACCCCAACAATAAAATTATTTTCGTTGCTACTTGATAAGTATGTGTTTTCCGATAGTCCGCAGGCTGAGAACCACTGCGCTAGTGGGATCTGTGTGTATCTTATGAACATGAAAGTAACTGATGATCAACGATATCGATATCAATATTCATCATCATCCTGATCAAGTACCCATTAAATTAAAGCATTTGTTTCGACCTGAGACCATGGTCAAAGATCTCTCTCTCAACAACATCAAAATAGTGATATAGAAATACGTTTGCTTTTATGGAACTGTATGTACATAAAAGACACTTAAAATCTTAAACATAAATAACACTTTTTTTACATACTTTTTTTTTTATCATTCTGGTTCATGAGGTTTTCATTTTTAAAAAGAATCGGGATTTTCTCCCTTTGACTTGTCCAATTTACCACACAACAAATAACTATTGTAGGACTGAACTTATGATGTGAATAGCTATTGGAGGAGATGTGTAAATACAGGTGTGAATATTATTATTATACAGTACAGGGCAGGTGAAAATTAACATGGAAATAACTATTGTAGGACAGGTGTAAATACAGGTGTGAATTAGCAGTGTAGGTCAGGTGTAAATAAAGATGTGAATAACTAGTGAAAGACAGTTGTAAATACAGGTGTGAATAGCTAGTGTAGGACAGGTGTAAATACAGGTGTGAATTAGCAGTGTAAGTCAGGTGTAAATAAATATTTCAATAACTAGTGAAAGACAGGTGTGAATACAGGTGTGAATAACTAGTGTAGGACAGGTGTAAATACAGGTGTGCTAAGACATCTATAGCAGGTGCTGTATATTATCCTGCCACTTAAGTTTTCATTAAGCCCTGACAAGTATTTAACTATGAATGTCTGTACCCCATGTGAGGCTGTTTTAGAGAATCTCCAATACTTGTAAACCATTATAGCCATAGAATAATTTTGACAACCAACACCTTAAAATATAAACAAACAAACAAAAAGTGAAATGTTTATACTTTTTATTACTATAAAAATAGACACAAGAGCATCAAATATTTACAAACATATCAAACCTTTTTAAGATCAACCTCCCCCCCCCCCACTCCTACTTACATTTCATTCATGCTGCATTCTTTCACCAATCATTTTACTTTTAGATGCAACATAACAAAAAGTGAAATGTTTATACTTTTTATTATTATAAAAATAGACACAAGAGCATCAAATATTTACAAACATATCAAACCTTTTTAAGATCAAACTCCCCCCCCCCCCACTCCTACTTACATTTCATTCATGCTGCATTCTTTCACCAATCATTTTACTTTTAGATGCAACAAAATTCTAAACCAGAAATTTATAACATAGAAAGACGAACATAGAAGTATGAGACTAACACTAACATTTTATATTCCAAAGTATTTCTTTCTCAGACATTTTATACTAAGAATTTTTTTTTCTTTCTTTACACTAAAATGTTGATACCTTGAATCAGGGGCCTAACAATTGCGGGGCCCTATGCGTAACGGATTGCGCGGGGCCCAGGCTGGGTAGGGATAAGGATAATAAGTGAAAATTTAGATTTTGTATTAGAAAGTGGGACCTATGAAAGTGCGGGGCCCACTGCAGCCGCATAGGTTGCAGTGGCCTAAGGCCGGCTCTGCCTTGAATGAAAGTGTAAGGCAACAACATTAACTTTTAAATGTTGATAGCTTAAATGATAGTGTAGAGCAACAATAATAACGTTAAATGTTGATAGCTTGAATGATGCTTAAAGTAACGAAGGTTCTAAAAATGTTGCCTCATTGGAAAATCATCAAAAAAATGTTGCAGTTATGTTTTGATCAGAAATTATTGTAACAGAAACAACCAAACCTATTATAACAACTTGCCTCATCTAATTACCGAAAACAACCATAGCTGCCACTTGTAAAACATTACATTGTTTTTTTTTTGCATGGCAATAGAAGCTGCTCGTATGGACATGCTGCCTACATACACACAAGCTTGACTGTTATGTTGAACAACTGTTTTAGTTTATAATGGGAAAACAGCGGTAAGAATTATTAAAACATTTCCATTCACTTAATGTTGAGCGTGTAAATCAGGATAAACACAATAGCTGTCTGAGATTATCATTTAAACACAGTCTGGCAATAACCAAATTTCACACACATGGCATAGCAGAGTGTGTAAACAATGGCACAGTATATCAGAGTGTAAATAGTTGTAGCAAAGAGCTGAAATTTTGTGTACACAACAATTTTGTCTTTTTGTAACACAGTTTGTTCAATTTTCTTTAGAACTTAAAACTCGGACATCATCATCAGTGACACTACAGACAAGGCAAAGATATTATAAGGTCAAAGGCCAGGACCAATTTTAAGTCTTTAATATTTTGTTTCTTTTCTTGCTATGACAACAGTGGTGGTTTCAGTAAATTTAAGTTCAACATTTTGAGTTGTAACTTAGTAAATGGGGGACTGAACACACACAAATATTAAATGTATAGCTCTTGTGATATCGTTAATTGGTTTTTATTTAGAATTTCAATAGTATTCCATAGTTCACTAGAACATACACTATTATACAAGCACAATACATTTCACTATTGAGTCTAGATACAATTTATGCAAATGTCTGAATTAATATCAATTCATGGAAATGTATAAGAATCATTTCACACAAATATCCTGGACATTTTAATTTGAAAATAACAAAAATTAGATTTTTATGCCAACGATAAACATTAAGAATATTTCTATTATTATTTTAAAGATACATAAAAATTATTTTATCATTACTTGTTTTTGAGCTTGTGTTTTGACTCCATGTTGGTCAATATCACAACCTAATCTATAAATAGTGCATTTAGTAATCACCCCAACAGCTAACATCACACTGTCAATATATTCATTTTAACTAACGTTAATAGAAAATGGAGTGACCCCATTAGAACAAAGCTTAAAGAAGGATTCCTGGAATGTGTGAAACCATTAATTTATATTACAGTAACAAACAAAGAGACCATATATAACTAACTAATTCAACTAAACAAATTTTTAACAAAAAGAAAAAAAAAAAAATCTAAACAGATTTTAAATGTTTAAATATAAAAATCTTTTTAGATCTTTTTTTTATTAAATTTATTCCCCTTAAAATGTTTTTAAACCTAAAAAGAAAACAACATAGTCAAATAAGATGAATTAAATGTGTTGTACAAAACAACAGTAATTGATTTTAACTTGAGATATTTTTTCCACCAGCCCTGAATCTCCAAAAGTTTCTATTGAAGGGGAAAAAAAAACCCACAAAAGCTTGCATGCTTATTAGTTGTTTTGAATTTGTTTAAAAATACATTTAAAATCTTTTATGAACAAAACATTTGAGAACCAATTAAGTTTCAAGAGAAATTTTGAAAAAATTTAAATTTTAAAAAATTACGAATGACACTACCGACAGCTTTAAAAAATAGGTGCAAAAAACAAAAAAAAAAAGTTTGTAAATCTTTCATAAAAATCATTTCTTAATTTTAAAAGCAATTATTGTACCGGTACAAAATATAAACGGAATGTCTCTCATAGAGTTTATACCAAGGTTATTTTAATTTAGTAATGTACATGTCTTGACACGGAATGCTACATACATATTTTTAGTACACATTTTGAGCTTATCAGGCTCATGACCAATAAGGGAGTAAATAAAAAGTTCAAGTACAATAAACATAATGGAATGCATGGAAAAGCAATTGATTCTTTTGCTACATTTCTTTATGTACAACAATGTCTGGTAAATATTTACATGCTTTCAAGAAGGAAGAGAGGCACATTACAAGAAAAGGAGATTGATTTTTCTCTTTTTTTTTTCTTCATAAAATGAATTCCGGATGATTTTAATGTGAGAAAGAAAAAAAAAAGACAAATATGTTGCAGTCACTCATCCTATCTATCTTACCACCTGCTATGAGGAGTTGTGTTAACAAATATGTTGGCTAACAAATATTTTATCTATCTAACCACCTGCTGCGTTAACTTTTCAATTAAAATTTGAGGTTTCTAGTTATAGTTAATCCTTTCATTATAAAGAATAACTAACTAAACAAAAAATATTTTATAAGAAAATCCAATTGAATTTGAAAGTCAAAACTTCCTTGTAATTAATTATACAAACACATTTTTCCTTGTTTTTAAAACCAAGGTACCTATAAATTTTGCTTTTAAGAGGACATTGTACTGCGTCATGTACTCAATGAGCCAGCGTACACCCCACACACACACACACCAACAATAAACGAACCCCAATGATTTATCTTAACTGAGCCGCCCGCACAAACAACAGAGATGTGATCAAGATGATGATGCTTGGGAAGACGGCAGATGATCCGAGCTGTGGACGTACAAATATACAGGTATACATACTGTTTAAGCATGGGATCTATCAACTAGTTTGTACCCATTAAAATGGACTTTTACCTTAGTTTCTTACAAGCATCAAGATACATTAACACCATACCCCCCCCCCCCAACCACTCACAACCACTTTTTTTTTCTTTCATAATATAAAATAATTTAGTATTAAAAATGTTGTTTAGACTATTGCAAAAGACTTATACATACTTTTTAAGCATGGGATCTATCAACTAGTTTGTACCCATTAAAATGGACTTTTACCTTAGTTTCTTACAAGCATCAAGATACATTAACACCATACCCCCCCCCCAACCACTCACAACCACTTTTTTTTTCTTTCATAATATAAAATAATTTAGTATTAAAAATGTTGTTTAGACTATTGCAAAAGACTACTCTTCTGGATTATTCAAAAATATAAAAATCAACATCTGTGTACAAAAATATGATTAAATTACATTTTTTTTTAAATTTAAAAAAAAATTTTGTTGTTGGTTCTGTTAAAGGAAAATCTTAACATTAGCTTTCATCCATGGTTAAACTAAAATATTAAAAATCATTCAGGAAATGTAACATGCAGTAACAATCCTTCGTGATATGTAATATGTAGTAAAAATCATTTAGGGAAACTTAACAGGTACCAAGATTTACTTGTTTGCACCAAACGCATATATATATACTATGGCATTTGTTATTTCTTTATATTTTGTGGACTTTTTTGTGTGCGTATTTGACATTCTTCATTTTAGCTAAATCTAAGAGGTGGAGAGAGTTTATTTCCTTTAATTTTTGCATTCTCCCCCATTGTCTGACTAAAGCTTTACTCTTTTGGTTTTTTTTTTCTTTTGCACCTGTCAACAGGGCTTTAAGAAGCAAACAGAAATTCACTTGATTTGTCACCCAAAAGAATGTTGAGAATTCAATAACTTAATTATTTATAAATATCCTAGTTAAGGATTTGGTCTTGTTTTGTGATTGAATGTTTGACTCAGAGTATTTGGGTAGCTGTAGCTGTGTGCTGGGATTTTCGTGACCATTTAGGTATGGGGAAATGACGTGTTTGTTGTTGTTATGGAGAATAGCAGTGATGGAGTGGTTAATAATGGAGTGTTAGCAATGGAGTTGTTTCTTGAATAAAGAGTCATTTGTTAAAGGAATCAATGGTTTGTTAAGTAATTGAATTACCCCCTAGACAACGAAGCTATTGACTGATTAATTCCTGGCTTCGTAACAATTCTCCACAATTATTATGGACACATTTTTAATATTAACAATGAAGTGTCTAAAGCTCTCATGTGTGTGCATAACTATATCTCTATGAATTTAAGTCATATGCTATTGAGGCATGAGCCTATATTTTAGTGCTAGTTTTTACCTATGATATTCCGATAAATGATTATGTTATTTGTGAATTGTGGAATGCAGGCATCCGCGTCTGATGGACACTTACCGTTACATAAAAGTTACAACGATCACCCTGGCAGCATTCGTAACATTCCCAATCGCGGTACCAATCCCTCATGCACTTCATTCCGACCTCTCGCTGCATGTCAGAGCAGTACTTGGACGTGTGGCACTGCTTGTGGACGTAGTGGATCTTTTCACTTCTTGGTGTCCAGAAGTCAGGAGCTATAACAATTTCAAAATTTTTTAAAACTTATTTATTACATCAATATGTATTGCAAACGACAAAATGAAATTGAAATAATTATAAAGAGGCAATAGTGAAAAGATGGAACAAACTTATTTCCCTTTAACAAAATAATGTTAATGTGGTTAACAAAAAAAAAAAATTTAAGGAAAAAAATTTGGCAATGTTTTATTTAATTACAGGAAATACTCATCAAAACACATAAAGGTGCAAATTTAGTGCATAAAGGTATACAAAATGAAATTTTATGATTTGGAGTTGAATAAATGAAAAAGCTAATTTTTGTTATAAATCAACCCTGGTCATCCAAGATAAATGACAGGCAGGAGAATGGCAAAAGAGATCCTCAGTGTAAAGGCAGAGGATATGAGTGGGGAACCTTGCTGTTTTACTCCGTGGACAGGCTAGGGGAATATTTTGAAAAAGAAAGCGGAACATTGTGAATAGGTAAAGGGGAACACTGCAGTTTCACTTCGTGGACAGGCACTAGCTCTCACCTCTCCATTCTATATGTGTCAAACAGGTGTCTTGGCTCTCCTCACACTGGACAGTGGTCTTGACACACTTGTCCCGGTTGTCTGGTTGGTTCTGGCACACATAACACTCGAGTGCTAACCCTGATTGATAGGACACAAATATTTTTTTTAAACAAAACAATATATGGTAAGCTTTATTTATAATTGATGAAAATAAAAATGTTTCTGCAAATGCCGTCATCAGTACTACAAAACATTAATAAAATTATAAATTAAATTGATGTAAAATATGTATATCCTACTTATACCTAAATAACAGGAAAAAAAAAAAGAAAAAGAATGGGCACAAGTGCTAGCCCTATGTGAAGAAGGAAAAAAGAAAGTATAGGTTTTGGGTAGCTTAAATAAATTTAAAATGTTTTTCTAATGAGTGCTCAACCTTGACTTTAGTTTTACAAATGAGGGACTACAAGGTGAACTGCTGACATAAAAAAACAGTGCAACTATTTATTAAGATGTAGTTGCAAGGGCAGTCAACAGACAAGGTGGCCCCAGTTGCCATGACATCTGAATGAATTCAATTTTATATTGATTCAGAGGTCTCTGGGCGACTCTTAATTTTAGGTGAGATTTTCAAAAAACTGAAATAGTATGACATTGATTGGCTTGCTACTAATAAAATGTATAGTTTTGTCTGCTCCACCACAGTATAAATGATTCATAAAATTGGTGGCCTATACTTTGGAATACTATAAAACAGTAAGGACTGCTTTGGAATATAATGGGCCTAAACTACAGTGAAGCCTGTAGTAGTTAAATTATACGGGCCTGTAGAACGTATGGGCTTTACCAGTGTTTAAATTATGGTGTACTGTTAGCATCATCAAATAAGGGATAGGATGTGTTGTTAAGTATAGGCCCCATCTACTGCAAGTACATGCTTTTGATCATTTTGATTTACATTACTTAGGATGCTCACTGTGTAGGCTAATACTAATTGATCAACATTAAGTTTAAGATAACACTATTAAGGCTAATAGTTCAAATTAAGTTTAAGATAACACTATTAAGGCTAATAGTTCAAATTAAGTTTAAGATAACACTATTAAGGCTAATAGTTCAAATTAAGTTTAGGATAACACTATTAAGGCTAATAGTTCAAATTAAGTTTAAGATAACACTATTAAGGCTAATAGTTCAAATTAAGTTTAGGATAACACTATTAAGGCTAATAGTTCAAATTAAGTTTAAGATAACACTATTAAGGCTAATAGTTCAAATTAAGTTTAAGATAACACTATTAAGGCTAATAGTTCAAATTAAGTTTAAGATAACACTATTAAGGCTAATAGTTCAAATTAAGTTTAAGATAACACTATTAAGGCTAATAGTTCAAATTAAGTTTAAGATAACACTATTAAGGCTAATAGTTCAAATTAAGTTTAAGATAACACTATTAAGGCTAATAGTTCAAATTAAGTTTAAGATAACACTATTAAGGCTAATAGTTCAAATTAAGTTTAAGATAACACTATTAAGGCTAATAGTTCAAATTAAGTTTAGGATAACACTATTAAGGCTAATAGTTCAAATTAAGTTTAGGATAACACTATTAAGGCTAATAGTTCAAATTAAGTTTGGGATAACACTTATAAGGCTAATAGTTCAAATTAAGTTTAGGATAACACTATTAAGGGTAATAGTTCAAATTAAGTTTAAGATAACACTATTAAGGCTACTAGTTCAAATTAAGCTTAGGATAACACTGTTAAGGTTAATAGTTGAACTTAAGTTTAGGATAACACTGTTTGGGCTCGCTCATCAACTAAAGTAACATGTTAATATTTTTGGTGCAGATTTTTTTTGCAGGCCCTGTCATAATTAATAAATTAGGGTCTATCAGTATTAATAGAGTTCCTAGACTGAATGTCAGCATGATGGGAAAACTCTAAAGTCTAAGGTCTAAAGGCTACAAAAATGTAGCCTTGTTTTTACTTACATAATTAATGAAAACATTTTTACATGCTCAATGCCAGGCTATTAAATATATTAAGTCCAAGAGTGTTGTTCTGGGAAGTTGACTTCCTGCTATGACTATACTATCATATCATATAGTAACTATAACTGTGACTATATTATTATTATTATTAAATTTGATATGAGTCATGAGACTTTTAAGTTAGGCTAAGTAAGACCAAGAGGGCTACTATTAATTGGTGATACCTCAGATTCAGATGATAGCAAGAATGCTGAGAGGTCTACTACAAGTACAATTTAAAATAATTTATTATACCTAATAATTTAACATTGACATTAACAAGTTAATTTATTTAATAAATTATATTATTATTTTATATTTTATATTATTTTTATTAGGGCCTCAGCCTAAAAGTAAAAGTAGGTCATTGTTAACAATGACTTTATGATTGTTATATTAATACATATAATTCTTAAATATTTGTTGAAACTAGCCATGTTTATTTGCAAGGCCTAGTCAAAGATGCTTCTAAAGACAAGCTACAGCACTTTAATAGACAGTTTAATATAGACTGCGACAGGTGAGAAACCAAAATGGCGGAAAGCAGTATTTGTAACGCAGCACTTCCTGAAACTTTGAGACGTTAGTTTTACAAATTTCCTTGAAGATTTCTGACTCACCTGAACCAATCATGCATAAAACAAACAGAACTGAGTAATAAAGCTCCATCTTGGAGCTGAAATTGAAGACTTTCTCCTGGTTTACGAGTGTAAATACAGGTGTTAGCGTTTCATTGCATTACTTCCGACCCGCTTACAAACACAAGGAGAGGTAAGTGGAGTTATCTTTTGTACAGGTGCTATTTCCGGGTTGTGAGAGTAGCCGTTCTTGAATCGTTCTATCTGGTCATGAAAACAAACAAGAATAACTGGTGTTCTGTTTATAAAATAATTTAAAAGTATTATAAATATATATCATGGGATTAATATTATAATATATTACTGGTTCTTAATTATGTTGGATCTGCCTGCAATCTAACGCTCGCTGAAAACTTGATTTATATTGTTAGACTTTCAAGTGGGCTCAGTGGCGTAGGCTTCGGGTGCTTGATGGGGCGGTTGTGTGGCACCTCCGATCTTTTTATTGAGGGGGCGACAAGTTCGGCTAACTGCAGTCGTCAGCTCTGATATCCTTGTTCATCCCCCTTAAAGTTTTAAGATAAATATTTGTGTACGCTATTTGTAGCAACATAAACCGACTCCCCAAAAAAAAACAAAAAAAAACTAACAAACAATTACCATTACTTTCTACGACACTAAGGTTTGTTTCATGATTAAAGTTTTCAACTTTATGTCGCAAACTTGTTTACTTTTACTTTCTGTTCACCTGTGTAGGCTCTTAGCTGATACGTTCGGTTCGCTGTTTCGTCGCATCTTTTGTCCAAGCTTCCACAATTTTTATACGCATGTACTTTGTTTCACATTTCTGTCCTTACAGCTTCATTCTCCTCAGTACTCTTTGTACAAATATAAACTACTATTAAAGTATACGACAATGTCGCGTCACAGACCGAATTTTAAACACACAACATATATTTCAACGGAATTGTCTAATGGCAATGTCACAATCACAAGCGAATCTCATGTATGCCTACGGAAATGTCTAATGCAATGGTTCTCAACCTGTGGGTCGCACCCCTGTGGGCTCGAACGACCCGTCACATAGCAATGAAGTAGCAACGAAAATAATTTTATGGTTGGGGGGGGGGATACACCACACCATGAGGAACTGTATTAAAGGGACGTGGCATTAGGAAGGTTGAGAACAACTGGTCTAATGGAAGTTTCACAAGGGCATCCCGTTTTTGTCTAACTTGTTGGTAAGGTTTAGTACACATCACTTAAAAACTGTTCCCCTGTGTGCCGGGGAGATAACTCTGTGCAGGTGTTGACATCAAAGAGTTACTATCTGTGAGGGGGGCCCCGGGTGAGCCGGAGCAGACACGGTACAGAGCCCGTCTCTTAATGACCTTGACCTAGCAACATCGACGTATTACTAACCGGTTTGCCTGCCCCTCCCATCCCACCCCACTCCCCTAATTTCTCCTGGAAAGATCAAGGGAATCTACGCTAGGTTAAACACCACATGGTACTGCTTGGCCAAGCAACACAAATCGGCCATATCTCTCCAGATACAACTTAATACAAGGATCTGGGATGCATTTTATTTTTTTTGTTTATGGAGTGGGGTGGTGGTGGGGGTAGGCATCGGGATTGGAAATAATTTTCTAAATTACTGTGGACTGTGGACACTACCTTTACTGTGAACACTATCTGTTACTGTGGACGCTGTCTGTTACTGAGGACACTGTCTGTTACTGTGGACACTATCTGTTACTGTGGACACTATCTGTTACACTGGACACTATCTGTTACTGTGGACACTATCTGTTACTGTGGAAACTATCTGTTACTGTGGAAAATATCTGTTACTGTGGACACTGTCTGTTACCGTGGACACTATCTGTTACTGTGGAAACTATCTGTTACTGTGGACACTGTCTGTTACCGTGGACACTATCTGTTACTGTGGACACTAACTGGTACACTGGACACTATCTGTTACTGTGGACACTGTATGTTACTGTGGACACCGTCTGTTACTGTGGACACCGTCTGTTACTGTGGACACTGTCTGAGTAGCATTTTTTTTTAAAAATCCATCTGATGGTCCGATTGGTTAAGCTTTGATTGTTCCAGTGTATTCGGTCAGCCTCTCACAGTATGGAGCATACCCAATGGCGTGGCTGAGGTTGGTGTCACCGGTGCGGTAAGCTGATGGTGTCACCCCCCACTTCCCTCTTTTTTTCCCCCGAGACTTCCAAGATGGATTTCTTCTTGTTAAAATAAGTCCACAGTATAACAATGACAAGAGTAAGAACAAATTAATTGAAGGTCAGGAGGTCAATGTATTTAAGTACTGTAGCAACGTTAAGTTATAGTTACATTAAATTTACTTTATTTAAACATGTTCCTTTCCTGGTCTTGAAACCTGCAAACCTGTCAATCAATTGATCAAGATCAGTATCCCTCATCCTATCACTTGGGTTGTTGAAAAGTGTGTCAAATTTACGCGTGAAATTCGGTTAGAACGAGCAGTGTGTGCTCTGTGTGCTCTGTGTGCTCTGAAAACATGCAATTTTTCAATTTGGGTGTCACCCCCATGAGATGGTGTCACCCGGTGCGGTCCGCACCCCGCAACTCCCCCCCCCAGCTACGCCACTGATTATACCTACAATTCATACTGATGTCTTCCCAAAATATTTAAAAAAAATTGTTACGAAGAAAACTAGCACCTTTTAGTTTTAGAAAATGTTATACCTAACAGCCAATAACGTTAAATTAAGCCATGCCATGATATAATACTACTGGTATAGTGACTATCTGTAAGTGTGGATAATATCTGTTACTGTGGGCACTATATGTTTACTATGGAAACTATCTGTTACTGTGAACATTTTTTTTTACAATAGCTTTATTAGTTTATAATTAAGTATTTAATTTGACTGTACTAACATCAAGATGGCTGCTTTACATAGTTTTGTGTACCGAAATTGTTTTAAAAAAAACAGGAAAGGGCCATTTGGAATTATTGTTAAAATCATATAAATATAATTTCGGGAAACTAAGACCTGTCTTCAGATCGAGACAGGACGCCTCGCCTTGCGGACAATATAGGATTGTTTACCGCGCTAAGTCTTTGTGTTTTAGGAATACCATCATTATGGGTCAAACCAGCAGGCAGTTGTTTGATGTCTGTAGCCACCTCACAAGGAAGTAACAAATTAAGTGTTCTTCTTTTCAGTGTATCCATTGCCTCAGCAACCAAATAAGTTTTGTAATTTTTTTCACACGCAAAATAGCTGAAATTCGCGCTGAGCTTGATCATCCTGATTGTATCGCCCCTTGACCTGCCTACTTCTTCTAGCGTTAATTCACATTTCGGTGTTTTTAAACCAGTTTCTGAACAAGAGGTCAGAAGTGTTATTCTAAAGTCTAAACCTACGTAATCTTCACTCGACCCCATTCCCACTCCACTGTTGGATGATTCGTTGGATCATTTGCTCCCAACCAATCTAGTCAATGAGAGCTTGTCTTCTGACATTTGTCCCTCTCTTTGTAAGACCATCAAACCATTACTTAATAACTCCGGTCTTTATAAAAACAATTTCAATAACTATAGACCTGTACCTAATTTATAATTTTTATCTAGAATCATTGAAAAACTAGTTCTAAATCAGCTTTTTGCTCACTTGAATGAGCACTCTCTTCTCAGTCCCAATCAGTCGTCCTATAGACTTTTTCACAGCACAGAAACAGCTCTCTTGAGAGTCAGCAGTGACCTCTTGCTTGCACTAGACAGCGGTGATAACTCCATCTTGATCCCCTTCGATCTCAGTGCAGTCTTTGATATCGATGACCATCAGACCCTCTACAAAACCCTTGGAAAGTACTTTGGATTTCTGGTTCAGTTTTTGGCTTGGTTTCGATCCTACCTCTCCGATAGATAGCAAGCGGTCGCTATTGATGGCTGTCTCCCCGGTAGTGCTAACTTGGTGTACGGAGTGCCACAGGGGACCGTTTTGGGTCCCGTCTTATTCACAAAGTATACCAAGCCACTTCTCTTCCTGCTCGGGAGGCATGCTGTTGAGAGCCAGTAATTCGCAGATGACATGCAGCTATAAAAGCATTCCCATCCCTCTCTTGTTAATTCTGCTATCCTCACCTTGCAGCAGTGCATTGGAGATATCAACACATGGATGACTCTCAGTAAGTTAAAGCTAAATGACGACAAAACGAAGCACTCCTCATTCACAATCAAGAATCATCATCTAACTCAGCTCTCCCAATTTCGTTTCATGTAGGTAGCTCTAATATATTCAAATCCTCTGCTAGGAATCTTGGAAACATTCTTTCAGACAACATGGCTCTCCATAAACACATTTCTCACATTTGTCACTCTGCATACACCGTTATCCGTCAGATCAGCTCCACCCGCCACTACTTCACAGTTAGCGCAATAAAAACACTATTCTGTGCTCTTGTTCTCTCTTGTCTTGACTATAGTAACTCTTTTCTGTCAGGTTCACCAAAACATTTCATAGAAAAACCATAGAAAGTTCAAAAGTCAGCTGCAGGGCCGCAAGAGGTAGAGCCTGGGTTATACCGGGCCGCATCAAGTTTTTAAAAAAGTGATGACTAATTCAATAAAGTACAGCGGGTACAATCTGCTCAACCTTTATTAATAACAAAATAAAACAATCAGGCTTAACTTTCTTCCTCCTACTCCTAGTTGCTTGAGATCTGGCAGCGCTTCTTCTTACAAACCTGAGCAACATTTGGCTTGAGTGATGGAGCATCTGCGATCATCAGTATAGCTCGAAGATGCTCATCAGTAAGTTTCGCTCTGAACTTTCATTTTTAAATTTTATAGTGGGAAAAGAGTTTTTCACAGAGATAGGTACTCCCAAAAAAAAGGCACATGATCCGCTTGAGAAACCTGAAAACCTCAGTGAAGGTGGAGGGCAATGCTCTCATTAATTGTCCATGCTCGTCTGTTTCTCCATTCACTCCCTGAACTTAGAATTGCATTGAAATTCAATCAGCTTCATTTGAAGCACAAGTGGGGAGTCGGGGGGGGGGGAGAAATTAAAGGAGAAAGGATCAGAAAAAGTTGAAAAGTGGCTCTGTGTGTTTTAAAGTCCAAAAAATGTCATCAAATTCTTCTTGTAGCTCTGCGATGGCATCAGTATACTCACTACTGAATGGTGTTCTTGA